GTTAGACAACCTTTCAAACACTCTTTTATTTTAGTTACTTTATGGGGGAGAGGCAGCTTTTCCGATGCGATGCCGAAACGTACCATGTCCACTCAGAAATTGCATCAAGCAGTAGGTCAGTCTCCCATGGTCTCTCCGTAGCCATGGTCTCAGGTCTGGTATCCAGCGCCGAGCCCAGCCGCCCCGATCGATTCCATCTCCTATTCCACAGCTCCAGGAATTTTTCTTTTTATGCCTTGATCTCACCTTTTTCTAGACCGTAAGATTCGCTCCTGTATCTAGCTTGTAGGTCTGGACGCATTATCCCAGCGAGCACTTGTAGTGCTTCTGTGGACACTGTCCTGTTTGCCCTGATGCTTACATATTGGAGCATTATCCTCTGTGCCAGGTTTAGAGCGTCAACATTCTTTGCCAGTTTTAGAGCGGTTTCGGCCCATGCGGGGTGCAGCATACAGCACAGCAGACGTGTGTGCAGTTGCGAGCATCCTGCGTGTCCAATCGCCGGCGCCACCATCGCGCAGCATGAGCATTGCTAGAGCTCTTGCACTCTCCGCTGCGTTCTTTGCCTTTGTCAGAGTGTGGTAAACAAAGGTGTCATTTTTGTCTAGCCAGACGCCCAGGTATTTAATCTCATCCTTAATTGGCACTTGTACTTCCAGAAAGTTGACCTCCAAAATCCCTACCATCTTTTGCTCTGCTGGTCAGTCTGCAAACACAGGTCTTTTCAGGAGCTAGTTCTAGTCTTCTGCTTTCTATCCACTGCCCTATATTTTCAGCGGCTATCGTTGCAAGTCTCTTGGCTTCATCCAGAGCTTTACCTACTTCATCCAGACCTCCTCCTCAACCTGCGTTTATCCATTCCTGGATATAGGTCTCTCCTATCCTTTTCCATGTCTCCCTGTTTTGTGCTGTATTTAACCAGCAATTACCTGCCACTTCCCTAATGTTATCCACCTAACGTTTTTGTGGACGTCCTACAATTCTTTAGTTTGTCTTCGCCTCCACACTGTTCTTCCATGCGTCCATCTGTCTTTATCCAATCTAGCAGCCTGTCCACCCCATTGCCATTTCATCTTAGTCACTTCCTCAATGATCAGAGAATCTGTAACTCTTGTTTTTCTCCTGATATTTTCATTGCGAATTCTGTCTCGTAGACATAACTCTTTGAGATGTTAAAAGTTTATTTGCAAATGATTTTCTTAGACTGGTCATTTCCGGTCCGTATATTTGCACAGGCAAAATACAGGTGTTAAATACTTTTCTTAAAAAAAGAGACTAAAATTTATAACTAATTTAAAAAATAAGAAGTTCGCAAATTTATCATTTCACTCAAATAACTATCTACTCAACATGTTTATTTTTAGTCAATAATGACATGTATTGACTATTTCCATTCTAAATATCTTGAGAACGGTTGCTCGTAGCGATTTTTACAAAGAGATATTTTTTACGTAATAAGTCACACAGATGTATATTTTTTCGCTCGGTAGTTTTATGCAGGTATGGACAAAAAGTTATTACACTTCAAAACAGTTAAAACACATGTAGGTGGCGCCAACAGACATTTTTTTACGTAAAAAATCACCGAAATTTATATTTTTTCACTCAGTAGTATTATACACGTACCGACTATATTATCTGCAAATCTGAGGTGGTTTAGTCTCATACCATCTAGGCTAATACCCTTGATATCCCATTCCAGCTTTTTTAATACCTCTTCTAGAGCTAGAGTAAACAGTTTAGGTGACATGGTATCCCCTGTTTCACACATCTCTCCAATACTAGTCTGTTGGTCGTAGTTGTTGCATCTAATCTGACATGCATTGTTGCTTCATGGTAAATATTTTCAATGACTTTAGTATATCTTGAGTCTATTCCTTCATATTGTAGGGCTGCTAATATTGACTAATATTGCCTAATATTGATATATAATTTAATTAACTGTTATTGAGAGCTATTATTTGTTTATACATAAATTTTAGATAAATCTATTACTTATGATTAGATTACATGACTAAATTAAGAAACCACAGAAAAAATAACGTATGATCGAAAAAAATATATCGTCAGACAAACGTAACCAACGACATTTACTAAAAATTGACAAATGATGACAAAAATTAACATTAATTGTAGAAAAATTAAAAAAGGATGTTACCAAACACACAAATTTATTTCCAAAATTTGTTTATTCAATTTACTCACTTCTTAAAAAAATACCTACATTTTTTTCAAGAAATGAGCCCACCACAAAGATTAGAGACATTATTTATTGAACAGTTTTCAATAAGTCAGATATTAACAAAAAATATTTAAAAAAAAGGCGTCCATTAATCCCAAAGAGACCTGGTTTATAAATACAAAAGAAAAAGCAATGACTCGGATGTCTCGATCTCAACATTTAGAAATATCTGTTTCTTAAGAGTCCATTTCACTAATCTGAAAAAGTAGCAAAATAAGTGTTCAGCATCTAACGTTTTATGTAAAACTAGCTAGGTATTTTTACACAAATGAAGAAGGGAATTAAAGATAAAAGATTATATTATATCCGTATTGTAGCACATTTTTAGACAACTTCTTTATTTTTAAGATTTTGACGGTCAAAGATCAACAAAATATTCCTTATATTTGGACTAAATTTTCTCGAAAATAAAGACATAATTTAAAATTCCGTTAGAATACGGAAATAGATTGAAGTTTTGTGATTACAGCGATTACCTGTTTTGTGATTACAGCGATTACCTAGTGATATACAGAGTTGTTCACCACATACGACACGGAGTATTGTAGCTAAACGATTAGATTTTTACAAATTGTAAGTTTTGGGTTCGTTGAAGGACTATTAGAGCTACAATTTAAAAATATTTTTACTAGATACAGAGTGTCCCAAATAAGTAAAAAATATTATAGTTGTATTTTTTTAAATGGAACACCCTATATATTATTATATTTTTGGATTCTACGATTGAAATAAAGGTAAATTTGATTAAGGTTTATCACACTTAAACCTTACCGTTTTTGAAATATTTTCAATTTTATGAAATTGCAGTAAAAATTTTAAGGCTTCATTTCTCCAAGGGTATCAAAGTTTTTAATACTAAATATTTACTGAAGATTATTTATTTATCAGATATTGTGTTGCAATAATAACATTTTTACTACCTTATACAGAGTGTCCAAAAATTTATATGAAATAATTACTAGCTTTAAACGGCAATAACTTGTTTAATTTAAATGGAACACCCTATATATTTTACGTCAATCAGATGCACAATGTAATTGTCTATAAAATTGTATTATACCATTTTTTACCCATCTCTCCAAGTTTTCGTAGAAAATGCATTTTCTTATAATTTAGACCTGATTTATCACTATACCCATGGTATATTGACATTTCAGATTTTTTTATAGCACAATACATATACTATGTACAAAGTGTACAGGTGGTAAATATTGCAAGCCCATTGGCATACAAAAAAAAATCTTTGTAATAAAGTATACCAATTAAATATACCACCATTATTTCCGACCAAAAACACCAAAAATTAGTTAATTACATACTTTTAAATTGTTTTAATTAATAAAGTATTCTAAATAAATGTGTATTTGGCTCAGAAATCAATATAATAATAAGTTATGAAAATGAAAGTCTCTGTTTTTATAAATAAGCATCCGTCAAAAAATGAAACAAAATTTATAAGGTGTTACTTTTTAACACACTGTCTAATTCACACACAAAATTCAGTTTTTTAGCATTTGGAGCAATTATTATTAATCAACGTAAACAGTCAATTAATGTAGTTTGAATACTGGGATCATATTAATTGGTCCTCTTTAACAAAAAAAATATTTAAACAGTTTTTAATTTTTTAATTAAATAAAGTGTATTGACAATATTAGTATCTGCACCGTTTGAAAATTTGTTACATCTTATAAAAAATAAGCTAAAATGTCAATAAAAAAATAAAAAAATATTCAATATTTAATTGTCAATATTCCATGGGTATAGTGATAAATAATGTTCAAATTATAAGAAAATGCCTTTTCTACGAAAACTGGAAGAGATGGGTAAAAAATGGTATAATACAATTTGATAGTCAATTATATTGTGCTTCTGATTCACGAAAAATATATAGGGTGTTTCATTTAAATTAAACAAGTTATTGCCGTTTAAATTTAGTAATTATTTAATATAAATTTTTGTACACTCTGTATAAGGTAGTAAAATTTTTATTATTGCAACACAATATCTGCTCAATAAATAATCTTCAGTAAATATTTAGTATTAAAAACTTTGATACCCTTGGAGAAATGAAGCCTTAAAATTTTAACTGCAATTTTATAAAATTGAAAATATTTCAAAAACGGTAAGGTTTAAGTGTGATAAACCTTAATCAAATTTACCTTTATTTCAATCATAGAATCCAAAAATAGAATAATATACAGGGTGTTCCATTTAAAAAAATACAACTATATTTTTTACTCTTTTGGGACACTCTGTATCTTGTATAAATATTTTTAAATTGTAGCCCTAATAGTCCTTCAACAAACCCAAAACTTACAATTTGTAAAAATCTAATCGTTTAGCTACAATACTCCGTGTCGTATGTGGTGAACAACTCTGTATAATATATATGGTTTTGTAACAAATTGCTCGCTATTCTATGGCAAATGCTGAAGTTCTGCAAACCTTAATCAAAGCATGTGTGTTTGGAATTTTGGGTATGGCTTAACACGACAGAATCGGGCTAAGCCTTAGGCAGATTTCTGAAATATAATATATATTTCCTTCGGCCACATACTTGCTTTACCCGACCCCTGAGAGCGACCCGAGTAGTACAGCGTAATAGCCTCTTAAGTGTTCATAATAATACAAGTAACAGACAATCAAAATACAAAAAGATTAGCAATGTAGATAAAAATTAAGGCGTATTAAGTATTAATAATGTTCTTGATGAAGTTAATTAATTAATTAAAAATAATCAATTTTACCTTTACAGATTGGTTTAATGCGCAGTGGCAAATTCCTCGCCGAAGAAGCTCCTCACGTTCTTTTGTCCATGTACCGCTGCACATCTCTGGAAGAAGTATTTTTAAAATTGTCCAGGAAACAGGGACAAGTAGGCGGAGCACAAACTGACAATAACATTAGCAACAACATAAGTTTGGCAACATTGAACTGGCCGAAGAAAGATTCGATTTCGGTTACTGAAGAAAGCGGCGTCGTAGGTCTCAACTTCCATCAAAGTAAAGAAGTACTAGTTCAGGATTCAAATGGGCATTTAGATGTAAGTAATCTTTGTTTAAGTAATCTTCATTCAAGGTTATGTAATATCTGTGAACTCTTTGAAATCATCATCATCTTTCACTTTGAAAAAGGGCGATAGTAGTTATCGGGAAATGTGATACTTTAATAACAGCAAAACATATCACATTAATCAAAATTAATAATAACCATCTATCAAAAAATGAAATCGAAATTATATTACCTTATTACAAGAACGGTAAACTAATAGGATTGCTCATCCTCATAAGACGTACGTTCGCCTCTTCCCGCGCTTCAGCTGACAGTTGTGACGTCATTGTAGCCCTTGTCAAAGCCTTCGTGGCCTTGTCATGATAGTGTGTATTATTAGTTGCCTATGGTAAACTTATAAAAATAACAGCTGAGAAATTTTGAGCAGTGCCTTCTATTAAAAGATCAGCCTGGGGGCGAGATTTATGACGTCACGCTAGTTAGATATAACGGATTAATAAATATATTGTAGAATACATGGAAAACATAATTATTCCTCAGATTTTTGGTTTGTATTTTAAAAATGATATAGTTTAAATGAAATATACATAATATACAGTTAATAACTACAACATATATACCTATTTATAGTAATAAATACTTTGGCAAATAAACTATGAACCATACAAATGCAGCAAATGTTTTACAATGTACAAATAATGTATAGGTACATAAGATAACGGGTAAAATGTAAATATATTTTAAATTTTGGGGTTTGAAAATCGATCTAATTTAACAAAAAACATTTAATATCTACTAATAGTGATGTATTATTATTTGCATTCACAAAATTTAATATGTATATTTTGCAAGTATCAATGTTCGAAAAATTATATTTACAAATAATACAATATTATCTAAAAAAAGGCGTCAGCGATGGCTATGAAATGAAGATCGCTGGCATTTTATATGTTAAATTATTCTAAAATTTTTGATTTTCTTAGGATTTTTAGGTTCGGGAAAAACGCTGATTAAGTGTTCATTTGGGTTTTCATTATTTTTATTTGGTTTAAAAAAAACGTTTCGGCTAACTATAGCCTTCACAGTGTTGTGTCATATGAGAAAAATAGTGTCGAATATAATCAAAAAAATTACATATACAATATAATTCACACCTCATAATGTTTACTGCAATTAATAAACTAATATAAACTTATCAAAAGATGACCACATATTTTTTAAAATTATTATTCTTAACACTAAAATTATCTACATTGACTATGGAGTACGCAGTAAACATTATGTGCGTGGTGTGAATATTTTATATGCAATTTTTGGATTATATTCGACACTATTTTTTTCATATGACACAACACTGATGGAGGCTATAATGTTAGCCGAACCGTTTTTTTTTAACCAAATAAAATAATGAAAAACCAAATGAAAAAATCAATCAGCGTTTTTTCCCGAACCTAAATTCCAAGAAAATCAAAAAATTTAGAATATTTAGAATCAAGGTTCAAGAATATCAAATTTTCCAAGATTGTAAAATTCTAGTTAATTATTTTATGTGTACAGTTATTTAGGGAATGTCATCGATGTTCATTTCCAAGCCAACTAGACGCCGATTTTTTCGATGATACGGTATAATTCTTACGTAAAATGTAAATAACATTAGACCAATTAAAACAAAGAAATATGAATTTCTTAGTTTTTTTTAGTAACACCTTTATTCTTAAAACTTAATTTTGTATTATGCAAATATACCAATTTTATTGTTATTTTATTCATATTGTATTCAGCCATCACTTAAATATTTGATATTAATTTGGTATTATAAATAATCAATACTATTCATTAAAAATTACTGAACAAATATATGTTATGCTTAACATACATTATATATTATCAAACAAAAACACATTCTTCTTTTAAACTGTATCAGTCTTGTCTTTAAAAAAATCTTTTTTAAAATTTGAACTCAAAATAATAATCTTTTTCATGATCTCTAATACACATATTCTTTATTTTTCCCTAGATCATAATACCTACTTACGTGTTTGAATCTATCGAAGCTGAACCAGCAACACTTGGAGTGGAGATTCCACAATATGAATAAAATAAACATAATTGTCCAGTTTTCATTTTTACCATCACGGGAGAATATTATTTTTAAATTTATTAAAGATATTTTCAATAAAATTCTCTTGATTTATAACTCGTACCCACTTTTCTTGCTCTTCCGGACACTTTAGGCTGCCTAGTATAATAACTATCCTTAGTAACTATCCTTTCCACCAGGAACACAACAAAGATGAGGCATAGCACCAAAAACACACTCCACTTAAGCTTTATTGATGAATTGTTAGAGTCTTAAAAAACACACACAAAAATCACGATAAGTAAAAAATGTATGGGCACTTTTAGGTTAAATCACTTACACAACGTGTAATTTTTTAAATTTCTATTTTTTTATGAAACCGAGAGTGTCCATATATCTGGTAGTAGTTTATGTCACTTCAACACCAAAATAATTAGTTTTTTGCACTACAATAATAAATAATACCAAAAATCAAAGAGCTAAAACCAAAAATCAACCGACAAAATATGAAACGGAATCTAACCCAATATCTAAGTATGTACAGCTGATGAAGTAAACAAAAGTCCGCCCGTAGGCTGATCTTTTAATAGAAGGCACTGTTTTGAGTTAATTATTTTGTCAATTTTAAATGTGAAAAGGGTGTCTTTAAAGTTTTTAGAGCTATAGAGTGTATAAATACGTTCATTTTGTGTTGTGGATTGTGACAAAGTGCATACTAAGTGCCCACGATTTTGTTTATTAATTATTTTAAAGCAAAATATGGAAGCACTTTAAAAAGACTGCTTGCAAAAGGTGCTGTTCTTAAAAATGCATTATCCGAGTATTTAATACGATTTATACAGTTAATTTTCTATACTGCATACATATAAGGTGTTTAAATAAATAAACTAAATAATGAACGTTTTGCATTCGGTAACCAATAATGCACGTGTGTATTATTGGTTGCCGGATAAGGACTGATAACCATGACAAGGGCTACAATGACGTCACAAAGCGAGTAGTTTTCGCATGCACCTGGCGGACACTTTTGGCTGGATGAGCAGTCCTATTAGGTTAAATGTTCTTGACCTTATTATATTAAATTATATTATTATAGAAACACCTTTTGATTTTTGGACTCATATCTTTCTTTCCACTCCAAAAGTTCAACCATAATTTCATGGTTTTTTTAACTTTCTCTCAAACGGTATGGAAATTTGAAAAAGTATAAACGGGATTAATAATTTTTGAACAAGCCAACATTTTTATGAAGAATGCATTTTTTTCATCGTTTCAATTCATCGTTTATGGCACGAATGGTTGTCATCTAGACACACTCAGTAATGAGCTATTCTGATGTTTCCCCATTTTTCCCAAACAATCTGCGTTCTCCGTTATTTCTTAGCTTCAATCTACGGGGTGTTTATTAAGGAAGCAGTATCCTGTTAAAAACCCCGTGACAATCCTCGAACAAGATTGCTCTTATTTAAATAAAGGAAAATCTTTGATTTTTCTCGGTAGTAAGTCCTGAGGAATTTATTCTAATGTCTTGGACCGTTGGATGATTCCCATTCCACGTTTCGGATAGAATCTTCCATGTTCTTAAGCTCTGGCTTTAAGTTGGTTTCTACTTAGAAAGCAGGACGAATACTTTCATCTCGAACGAAAAATATACTTTCATCCCTGTTTCCTGTGTCTGCTTTGTTTTCTAGATTTCTGGCTTGGTTTTAGCAATGAATGTTAGTATGGGCCTGATTTCTGTTTTGTAGATTCTGGATTTAACTTCAATTTCTCTATGTATTTTGGCTCCATAAGGTACTGGTTAATGAAATATGCTTCGGTTCTTGCTGCTTCAGGACCTTTCCAACGGATTGGACCATCTTCGTACTCGAATGTTTCTATGCCGAGATACTTGAATTTCATTTAATGTTGCACAAGTCTAGTTCTAGTTTGCATCACAGTGATATTCTGGATGTAGTTATGCATTTAGTTTCTATCGCTTTTATATTAATTTTAAGCTTTTTTGCCGTTCTGCTAAATTAATAGAGTGGCTTTTGCAAATCCCCTTCTTTTCTTTTTCAGCTACTAAACTGGATTCACAGCGGTCAGCGTAGCAGAATATTTTGATTTCCTTGACATATTATTTTAACATACGAGTAAAGCAAATTTTCAGAAAAGAAATCTATATATGTATACAAATTATTCCTTTCATTCCTTTAACACGAGAAGAGCGGATGTTACAGAGCTAAACTTGTTTTTTAAGTGATCTTTAATAGTAATACCCATTAATACAAATGTACCAACTAATATTTATATAATGTGAGATTAATATTAATTTGAAAATACAAGACAAAAATAGTTTTCAAATAAAATATCGGTAAAAGACTCCTTTTTTAAGAATTTTATATATAATATGTTTCTACTAATAATTATTTGTTAATATATTACTGGTCCTTAGTAGCTGCAATGCTATTCGAAACGCCTACTTGAGCGGATTTAAACTCCCATTGAGCAAAGTTTTGTCACATATAGTCACATACAGTCACATTTAGGCAACAGTTACGTATCTGCGTTTTATTCATTTTTATCAGGCAAAAGAAGAGTCTAGTAACGTAAAAACCACGTCACCTAGGACACATTTCCCTTAAAGGAATAAAATGCTCACTGGGCTCTATACAGAATCTGGCATTACGGCATGTAAAAAAGGTCCCACCATTAACTCGTGATAAATTATATTCCATGAGAACACCATCATTTTATGTTTGAAAACGTTATTATATAAAATAGCTTTAAAAGTCTAAAATGTTCATGGCTTGATTATAGTTATAATTTTTCCACAAATTTGTGTCCTTCGCCTTTATTCTCCACCCATTAACTGTTATCCTTCTGAATTTTCCTTCGACATTCTTTTTCCATCTGGGGGGGGGGGGTCTCAGTCTACTCCCCCTACTCTTTCCACCTATTTCACGTCTCATTTTAGGAACTCTTGTTTCAGCCACTCTTTCAATATATTCTAGCTATCTAAGTCTTTGTGTTCTTTCTACTTCCGTTATAATCGGTGCACGATACAGTTACTTTATTTCTTCGTTTGTTATTCTGGTCCACATCTTTCCTCTAGAAAACATTACAATCGATCAAATAAAGGAAATAGAAAGGTGCCCGGTGGCGTAGAGGTACAGGCTCTCGTCTACCAATCTGAAGGTAGTGGGCTCGAATCCCATACCCGGCATTTCATCAGCCGACTATTTTAATTAAAATAAAAATAGTTTGGGTACCTAGGTCGACTCAGCCTTAAATTAGTACTTGGGATTCACAATCCTGAGGTAATAATAGGCGGTTGAAGCGTAGTGCTAGCCACATTACCTTCCTTGAATTAGAGGTGAGAATTCTAGTTCCTTGGGAGGAACTAGTTCCTGAGTTCTAGTTCCTCTAGAGGAATAGTTCCTTGAACTAGGTCTTTAGTTCACAATAGTTCCCGACTAACATTGACATCCCCCTTGCTTGCTAATGCGTTTCGTTGTCAGTCAGAACTATTCACAGTATGATCTGTATAATTTTTATAATGTACGGAGATATAACGGGACGTGTAATTGTGTATGTTAAAAACATATAGGTAAGTTTTATTGCAGATAAAAAAAATAAAAAAAACTCAAATCAGAATTTAAAAAACTATATCACACATCAATTGGAGCAAATATTACAAAAATTTTACGAAAAATTGTATTTTTCCTCACTTCAAGCTTTTTGTTTTTGTCTAAAAGTTCAGAATATCTACTTCGTTTTATAAGATACTTCTTAATTTTAGGGACCTAAAGTGAGACATTCCCATAAAATATTTAAAAAACAAACTAAAAATCAAAAACAGTATCCACGACAAATTTCTGTGGTAATTACGCCGCGCCGGCTGTGGCAATAGACAAGGCCGAATCCATCGTCGTCGCCTTGTATTATATCTCGGGTCCACCGACTGAATAGATTCCCGTGAGTCTTTTAATAGTTCCTCTATGTCCGGATCCGATAACATACGGCTGGCGCTCCCCACGTCTGCCTAGAATCAATCGCGCTGGCTGATCCATACGTAAACTAGTCTTTTATTTAGTTCCTCTAGTTCCTTTAGGTCCGGATCCGATAACATACGGCATACGGCTGGCACTCCCCACTCCTGCCTAGCATCGATCGCGCTGGTCCGATCCATTCGTACGTAAACTAGTCTTTTATTTAGTTTAGTTCCTCTAGGTCCGGATCCGAAAAGTACGGCTGGCACTCCCTACTCCTGCCTACCATCGCGCTACGCGCGCTAGCCGATCCGTCGCCGTCGCATATTATTCTATCAGTCACAGTCTCGATCCCGGAATAGGTGCTGAGGAACTAGTTCTTTGAGAAACCAGGAACTAGTTCCTTTCATTCCGGGGTCGGAATAGTTCATTGGAACTAGTTCGTTCACGAACTACACACCTCTACCTTGAATACCGAACGGCTCTAGTATATGGCAAGCTGTACCTTGCTACTCCCAAGGTGTTAAACGCTATACACGGGAGCTATTATTATTTTAAAGGAAATAGAAACAACGATATTGAATATCAATCTTTATCAGAGTTTTATTATTTTATTTATTTTTACAGTATGCAGGGAAATCGTCATCTGGCAAACCATGTCTGCAAGAAGCCTGCGAAGACTGCGGTAACTGCAGCGATTGGACTACCACCGGCAAAATCAAGGCCCTTCTCCAGAAAAACTTCCTCAGGATGTGGAGGAACGTCGGAGTGATGCTGTTCATCTTCGCGTTGCCAGTGATGCAAGTCATTCTGTTCTGTCTGGCCATCGGAGGTGATCCGAGGGGCCTTAAATTGGCCATTGTTAACGAGGAAGTGGGTTATACGAATATGACTTATCAAGACTGTCCCTTCGAACTCGGCTGTAAATTTTCGAATCTGAGCTGTCGATATATACACGCGGTGAATACGAGTACGATAACGAAGGTAAGACTTAACAGGTATACCTGGTGTATATAGAGTGGTCCGAACTGTATTCCAGAAACATCGGCAGCATATTCTGCTGATCTGCTGAGATGAATAAGTAAAAAAGTTTCTGAGATACAGGGTTTAGAAGTTTTATTTTTATTTTGATTTGTTCCAAACTTTTAATAAGAAGACTAAGGAAGGAGCATAATGCTATCCATGTATTAATGCATGGTGGGCGAAAAAAGCACTCTAGGGTGGGGACTCTTGACAGTTCTGTTTGATGATTCATTTGACACATTTGAATTTGATTTGAAATTTTGTGGATTTGTCTTTACGGAGCTTATTTTATGTTATTTATTATTTATTCTACTACTGATAGTTGTATAAAGGTAATAAATCTAAATGGAAATTGTGGCAGAAAACTTAAATTAACAGAGACACTATCGCGAGTAGATCTCGGCAAAAATTGAGTGAAATAATGGAACAACTTTTCGCTAGTAAGTGGCTATATAATATACATACGTGTAGTAAACCGATCATTTATGAAATTCACTTAAATTAACTAAATTATATATTTTTCTTGCATTTTAGCTTTTATTTATTACTTGTCAAAGATTAGATGTCAAAGAATTTAGATACGTTAATTTGACTTACCTGCTTCAGTAGCGTATCGGATGTTTGTGTTAATAAATACTTATTATAACTTATCTATTTTATTAGAATTATATATTTTTATAACAATTTTAATAACTACCAACATTTATTCACAACGTAAAATAAAACAACAAATTATTGAGTCTACCCCACGTCTACCCTACATCATAGTTTTACATTTTTTAAATAAAATTAGAACGACACTGATAAACCGGAATTTAAGTCGGCCATATTTGAGACCTATCGCGGTGCACCTAAGATTTTTGATATGCTCCTTCCTTAGTCTTCTTATTCAAAGGCTCCAAATAATTTTTGAAGTAACGTCAATATTTGGATGAAAATTGGTGTATGGGAGTTTTTTCACATTTGATGTCAATATTACTCCTACTTCTAGAGGACGCTATCTACATATTTTTTTAACTGGTTTGAAGAGTTAATAAGTTTTCGTCCGTACCTGTATCAAACTATTAAATAAAAAGTATTCATTTACGACATTTTTCACGTAAAAAAAGGTGTCTTGGTAAAAATTGCTACGAGTAGTGGTTCTCGAGATATTTTCAATCGAAATTATCAATACCTGTCATCAATAACATAAATTAAATATGTTGACTAAATAGTTATTAGACTGAAATCATAAATTTGAAATATCTTTGTGCCAAAAGTTCAACAGAAACTGTTTTATCATCATTTTTTCGAAGAAAAATTTATGATTAATTTAAAAAATATAAAAAGTTCACAAATTTATCATTTCAGTCAAATAACTATCTACTCAACATGGTTATTTTTTGTCAATAATGACATGTATTGACTATTTCCATTCTAAATATCTTGAGAACGGTTGCTCCAGTGGCGTAACTATCGATGTGCCGTGTGTGCGAAGCACACGGACCCGGGCCTTCAGGGGGCCCGGGCCGCATTTCCATATCTGTCACATGCTATCACGAATCAAGCAGAATCGGGCGATTCCGAACTAAGTTCTTATCTATCACATGTTTTCTTAACTACTTAACTAGCACAGGCTATCGCGAAAATAACTTATTACTTTACACTTGGTCTTGTGCAATTTTGTAGCTGTGTTTTCCTTTTTATTTTGCAAAATAAAAATAACTGGAAATATGTAATTTCTCATTAGAGCATTAAATTTGACAAAAAGGAAATTTGCTGTATTGTCACTGGATTTCTGTACCATCAAATAGAAATAGAACGAAGCTAGTTGTAGCATCAAAGAGCATGAAAAATTATACTGGCCAAACTAGTTAACTCAAAATCACAAAAACTCTAGTTACCTAATGGTTGTATTAAGGGGACGACAAGGCAGCTGGGTTACGAGAGGTGCCCGAAACTGCCACTTTTTTAAAATCACCCTGTAGCTCAGTAACTAAGAGGGCCATGACAAATTCTATTAGGGCATCTCTCATTTTGTCTAAAAGTAGCCGACTATTGTGAAAACCTATTCATAAGGGCAACAAAACACATGAAAATGGGATACCCTGTAGGTACAAGGTATTCCATTCGTAAAAAATCATTATCGCACCCTGCATACGAAGGGCATAAAAAATTGCTATAGCACTTAAATTCAATTTGTTCTTGCTTCAAATAATATCGCGATTTCCTGTGCTGGTTATGACGGCAATTCCCAATACTTCTTTTTTAACATGTTCATGTTTCTATTTACATTGTTTATTTTAATTTAGTTAGTTTTGTTGTTGTTTTTTGTTTTGTTTTTATTTATTTTTTTTTTTATTTATTTGATATTTTATGTTTTGGGTTACATCATTCTGTGTTGCAGTAATAAATAATACTATATAAAAATTAATTGATAATGTTATTTCTAACCTAAAATATGAGTGCATATTATTCAGATTAGTATTATATAAGTATTGAAATATGTAGGTGTAGTAGGGGGCCCGGTAAAATTTTTGCACACAGGCCCGTGAGTCTGTTGTTATGCCACTGGGTTGCTCGTAGCGATTTTTACCAAGAGACATTTTTTACATAAAAAATCACGGAAATGTATATCTTTTCACTCAGTAGTTTTATACAGGTACGGACGAAAAGTTATTACTTTTCAAAACAGTTAAAACACATGTAAGTAACGCCCCTATAAATAGGAGTCTCCTATAAAACTCCCAGAAACCAATTTTCATCCAAATATTGACGTTACTACAGAAATTATTTGGAAAAAATCGAAATAAAAATGAAGTTTCTACACCCTGTATCTCCGAAACTAAACATTTTTGGACATACATTTATACTAACTTTTTTACTTATTTTTATCTGCAGAATATACTGCCGAAGTTTCCGGAATACTGTTCGGGCCACCCTGTATAATACACTTCGTTATAATCTCTAGACGCAGGTTTTTCCTATGTAAGCACCAGCACCAGATGATTAACACTGAATGATAGTAGTAGACACAAAGTAGTGTTTTATTTATCTAATTAACTGATGATGGTAACCTGAATAAAGAAACGCGTGTCTAGTTTTTAAACAAAGGCGTTTTTGTGATTTGTAAAAGTTGATTTGACTAAAATGTGTATTTTTTAATTATCTTTCTATTTGTATTAACGTAAAGTTGAATATAGGATATTAATAGATCTTGTCATTAAATTAATCCATGTCAAAATGTACGTATATAGTATTACTTAAGAAAAAGCATTACTGTTTAATATGCTTAGTAGATAAAAGATACTACAAACCTTGAGAATTAATAGAGAATAGTTATTTTTTATACAAGACGATAAAATGTTATTTTATCGTCGACCGAAAAGATTTTCGGGAGACGATAATGCAATTTTATCGTCGTGTATAAAACAATATTTTTTTGCATAGCGAGTTGCGTTTTAAAAAATATTCAGAAATTATTATTTCAAGGAATTTATTACGAGTAGAAAAAATATTGTGCTGGGTTGGCGTTGGTTTCTGTATAATTTGACAAATAAATAAAGCTGTCTCTTTAGTTGTCAGTTTTGAGTCAATATTTTTTAATTCTCTTTCGTATCGATTGCTGATTGAATTGGAGCCAGAAATGGCTCAAAACGAAATAAGTAAATTACCAACAGATATTCAGGCTGAGGCGACAAACACCATATCCAAACTACTTCCATTTAAATCCCGAATAACTTATGAAAAGCAACACAACAATTTTCAAAAATGGAAGCAATTAAAAAACGTGCGAGAAGAAATAAAGTTTTTAACCTAACTACAACCTCGCTGTTAAACTATCATTTAATTTACCCTTGCGGTTAAAGTATTATTTTATCTACTATTTTTGATAGATATAAGGCAATTTTAACAGTTGCTATGGAAAAGAAATTTTTTTTTAAAGATAAACGTAGGGTTTTAGATACTAAATCTTTGGCCGCTTGTTAAGAGCAATTTCACCAGTTGCACCATAATAATGATTTTTGAAGCAGATGAAGCTTAAGGTGTAAAATACAAACAGAATTTAAATCGAAATAAAAAAATTCGGAAATTTTCAAAATTCGCTTTGACATTATAAAATGAACATTTTAATACTACAGCTCTCTCTTGAATTTTACCATTCTAAAAAGATCATAATTGTTTAATTAAAAATATGTCCAATATACCTCTAAATATTTACTAGGTATAACATTATGGTTCAAGTCAAAAGCACAGCACTATACCCATATGGATGAAAATCTACAAACTACAACAGATTTAAATACAATATTAAATATAAAAAAACACTACGCTAAGGAATAACTATTTTTTTTTATTATCGTTTGCATCCATTGACCTGGCGATGTTCTTGTAATTAATACACGCTTCACTACACAAACTACTTTATACCGTAAAACAGTTTGTTTCACCCAATTTTGTTCTCTTTATCTATAAAAATAAAGAAAATTGAATCTTTGCGTTACTATAAAATATAAAATTAAAGTGTGAATTGCCGAATGGAATCGCCTGAATGAATTTTAATATGTCTTTTTTAAAATATATTATATTTTTTAGGTTTACTATCCAAGTCTTGAGTCGGCAAAAGCAGCTGTCAAAAGTGGTGAGGCATGGGGAGCACTACACTTTACGGAAAATTTCACGGATGCTTTGGTCGCCAGGATAGCTTTGGGAAAAGACAGCGATGAAGAAACGCTCGACCAAAGTGAAATACGAGTTCACTTGGATATGTCAAGTAAGTCAAGCGTAATATATTGATAGCAATTAAGACAAAAAATATATGTTGGAAGGAAAGTTAATTTAAACAAAAAGCTGAATAATTTAGTATAATAATAATCAGCTTAGACAATTTATGTCTGATTATAGCCTTAGGCAACTTATAGATGGGTATACTCGAACTACAAGTACGACCTCTACACTTATAGATCTCATATTGGCGACAAATACAGACATAGCATTTGATTCGGGTATAAACAGCCCCGACTTGTCAGATCATGACGCAGTTTTTCCCATTCTTTCAATTCCTAAACCACCGCCAATTTATAAAATTTATCGTGACTTCAAACATGTCGACTGCGACAAACTCTTATCAGATTTGCAAAATATGGAGCTCCACAAAATCTATCATATTCAAGACATTGACGCGAAGGTTAGATTTCTGAATAACGCATTAATATCAATTTTTAATACTCATGTTCCATCTCGTACAAATAAAATTACAAAAGCTGCGGCTCCTTGGCTATCTGATTATTTAAAATTATTAATGAAAAGGAGGGACAAATTGAAGAATAAATTTAAGAATTCGAAGTCTCCCACAGTGTGGCAGGAATACAAGCAATTGCGCAATTTTATTACGTCTTTGGTTAAGAAAGAAAAGAAAATTTATTTTGAAAATTTGTGTAAAGATAAAAACTCGAAAAAGCTCTGGAATAAATTAAAAGACTTTAATATAGGAAACGCAAAAATATGTCCGGATATATTCCTGATTACCTAAATAATATAAATTTAATAAATAACTATTTTGTTGATAGCGTCCCTCCTAGAAATAGAAATAATGTTGATATAATCAATTATTTTAACACTAATAGCTGTCCTGATTTACTCAATAATCAGTTTAACTTTTCATTAGTAAATGAAGAAGATATTTTACAGATCATTAATAATATAACATGTGCTTCGGGAATTAATGGCTTGAACTGTTCGATGATCAGAATGAGCTATGCAGTTATAACCAAAATATTATTACATATTATAAATAGTTGTATTTTGGACAATTATTTTCCAAAAGATTGGAAAATAGCTGTTATTCGACCGGTTCCTAAGGCTGCGGATATTAAAGAATTTAGAGACTTGCGCCCAATTAGCATATTGCCTACCATGTCAAAGATCTTAGAACATGTGTTAACTAATCAAATGAAAATATATATAAAGCATAATAACATTTTAGCAACTCATCAATCGGGGTTTCGAGATGGGCACAGTTGTGCCACTGCCTTATTGAAAGTATCTGATGATATTCTGACGGCATTGGATAAGGGAGATGTTACAGTTCTTGTTTTGCTAGACTACAGTAAGGCTTTTGATTGCTTAAATTATGATGTATTGATGTCTGTTTTTCGTTATTATGGCTTTTCGAGTGATGCGTTGAAATTGATTGCTAGCTATTTTACTGATCGAAAGCAAAATGGTGAGGGTGGATACAGATATATCTGGGTGTATCGAACTGAATCGTGGTGTACCTCAGGGTTCTATCCTTGGCCCACTGATGTTTTCTATCTATACATCTCGCATTGCAGATGTTGTTCGATACTCGCAAACTCATGCATATGCGGATGACACACAGTTGTATGCTTCATTTTCCAGAGACAATTTCAACCAAGCCTTGAACAGTATTAATTTTGACCTACATAATCTGTATTGTCAGTCTCTTAAGTATGACTTAAACTTGAATCCTAGAAAGACAAAGGTTATGCTATTTGCGAGTAAAAATTATTATCCAAAACTTGTCAGTCAAGTTAGGTTAAATATCAATGGCGAGGAATTGGAAGTGGTTGAGGAGGCCAAAAATCTGGGGGTCATTATTGATCGGTCTTTAACGTACGGGATGCATGTAACTGTTTGCATCAAAAGGGCGTATGCTGGCCTTAGACAATTGTACCCTTATCGTGACTGCTTCAATTATAAGTTAAAGGCTAATTTATGCAATGCTCTTGTCTTGTCACACTTTTCCCATTGTTCACCTCTTATTTCTCAGAGCCTAAATGTTTATGATAGTTACCGCATACAAAAAGAACAAAATACATGTCTAAGATACATCTTCAATCTCAGGAAATATGATCATGTTTCTCATACACTGCGAGATATCAATTGGCTTAATATGCAGAACAGACAACTCTTAAGTACTTTAAACCTGTATCATAAGATAGTAAAAACGCAACAGCCAAAGTACCTTTTTGAAAAAATTCAATTTAGAGAAGAGGCTCATAATATTAATTTACGCAAGAAGGATATATAACCTAACTATTGCCCTCCACAAGACATCTTTGTATGAGTCATCTTTTTCCTATACAATTTCCAAATTGTATAGCGAATTGCCAGCTTATATAAAAGCTACTGAAAATTTAAACCGTTTTAGGTTTTGTGCCCGTCAATGGCTTTTTAATCTACAGTAATTTGTTTTGTTAATTTAAGCGTGTTTCAGTTATGTATATACTTTTTTTGTTTTCTTTTTAATGTCATCAAGGAGTTAAATGGAAGAGCAGAGCTCAGTTAGACTCTGAATTTCGCTCCTTCTCATTTAGAAGTGACTGCCTCTGTTGTTTGTATTTTTTTTTGGTTATAGCATTTATTTTTTTTATCAGTGTTGTTTTTTTTATGTTGTAATATTTTTTTTTGTAATATTTCTATTTTTATTTGGGTATAAAGACATTTATTATTATTATTATTATTATTATTAATTTACAAAATTTTAAACTAGAAAATTATCAGAAATCAAATTCTTCGGATTAACTTAATATAAAACACCAGATCAAGGTAAGTATGTCCTCTACCTATACTTGCCAGATCTCCACCACTAGAGAGGTAAAACAGCTTCTCTATATAAACACGACTGGTGACCCAATTAGCGCTAACAAATCCGCAACGAATGTTGTAAATATTGCCGTATTTTCTGTTCTCAATGGAGCACTTTATTGACACTGCGTTTCTGTTGTCACTTAGTGCTATAAAAATCCTTTTTTCTCTATATCATTCGGCTTAAAGTTAGCCGAGCTCTACTCATCTATCAGCCTACCCTTGCTGCAAGCGTGAAAACAGCTAAGCAATAGCGACCAACCGACAATACCAAGCTTCCAAACTAACAAGTTATTTTTTATTTCTAATATGGGAACCTCTAGTTACAGAGACATGGAGGCGTCATACTCAGCAGTTCTCTTTCATTTACGCTCTATCAATCAACATAATTTCGGAAAACAAGTGACAATGCGATGTTACACTAGGTTAGTCATAACCCAGGTGTACATGGTGTAGTCCAAGCGAGTTGTTTGAATCTATCTCACTTGGTTTAAAATTACTGAGCACTTCTCATCCGCCACCCTATAATTGATTGCGTGCAATCATGAGAACAGCTAAGAAGTAGATAGTAGTGTACAAGCAAGCAAGGTAATGCATCCAGGGCTGAAATGAAAGACTTTCTAATATGAGAACCTCGATATACACAGACGGTTTTACATATGTTACTTCCCTCTCCCCGATATCAGTCGTACCAAACTTTATGGCACGAATGCTTATCGTTTCGGCGCAGTCAGTGATGAGGTGTTCTGATGGTTCCCCATTTTCCCACAGAATCTGCATTCGCCGTTGTTTAGCTTCAATCTATTGAGACGTAAATTAAAGAGATAGTGTCCTGTTAAAAACCCCGTGACAATCCGAAGAGTGCACTTACTTACATCAAGGAAAATCTTTGATTTTCTCGGTCGTAAGTCCTGAGAAATTTCTTCCTCAGGACTTTCTCAGGTTAATAAAATTCCCATTCCCATGAATTCTGCTTTAAGTTGATTTTCACAGGTTAAGTTTTCCCTGACTACAGCGCACTTATTTTTTCCATCGCGTATTATTCGCCACGTACTTTCGTCTTAGGTTAAGTTAAGTTTACGTGAGGCCATTGCTAGGGTTGTCAAACAAGAACTTGTCAAGGTCAGCCTACATTGCAAATTTCATTGAGAGCTACTTGTTCTTTATGGGCTTTCCCGGAAAGCCCTTAAAGAATTAAGATTACAAGACAATTACATTCAGATACAATTACGGAAAGCCTTTCCGTAATTGTTGTCTATCTCTCTCATTGTTAACCCTAATTTAATAGTATAATTGAACCAGTTTACAAAAAAAATAAAAAGATTCGAGAGCTCTAGCTTAGCTTTCACAAGAGCTAGAATCTATTTTGGTAAATCAAGTTTCGTGTAGATATCAAGTATGCCAGAAAATGTATAAAGTATCATTTAAAAATAAAAACAATATAGGTGTTTAAACCGAAAAAAAGTACTACCAGACTAGTACCTACCACAACTTATTTTTTTTTGATGGTCACTCTCCATAAATAAAAAATCTAATCTTCTATTTGTCTGAAAATAGCATACCCAATTGAAAACGCGCGACTCGAAGCAGTAATGACTTAGCGGTTGACATGTGTTAATCATAAAAACTTGATATAAAACATTCAATTTTAAAATTAAAATATTCAAAAAATAAAATTCTCATTAAATACAGAGAAAAATGAAAAAAAACGTTGAAACCAATGCAGTCAGTCAGAACCCGCTTATCGAGACATTAACCTAACATAAGGTCCACCGACCAACAAATCATTATTGTTTTGAGTCCCTCCAAATTGGAACAGTACTGTAATTAATTGGAACTGCAGATTCTACTACTCAAATTGCCCTTTTTTATTAAAAAAAAGATAATAAGAAATCCTCTTCAAAATGGTTTAATTATAAGTAAAAACTATTATTTATGAGGTTAAACACAATCAACAGCTAACAACTTATTATCTTATTGACTTTTTAATTAAACCAAAAAAAGCTGCCTTTATAGCTCAAAAATACTGTTATAAAGTTAAAGATGACTTTTATTGGACTGGTTCAAAATCTGTCTGCGATCTGGGATCGCTAAGACTTAACGACATTTTTAAGAAATTCCTTTTTTTAATATTTTTTCGTTTTTATGTTCAAATTAATTGGA